AACATGTTATTCAGAGGAGCCGGGAGCCCTCACTGAAGAGTTGGATGCTCTTTGAGGACCATAATCTTTCACCGACTTACTTACTCACAGGCTCCTTTTGAGCACTTGCTGAATGGGGTCTAGAAGGCCACAGGGTTCTGGTCATGAAGGGGCTTGCATGACAGGGAGGACATCCGTGTCATAATTTTGAGGCTACTTCCAGGCAGAGAGCTGGCCCCCCATGTCCTGCGGGCGGCTCCCCCCGAAGCCGCATCCACTGATCGCATCTCCCTTGGTCTGAATGGATCTTCCCATCTCTTTCCCTGGATTCGTTTTAGCTAATGCAACCGAGAAATCTGCTGGCAGAGTCAGAAATGCCTAGTGCTGCCTGTGACTTTGTGCAAAGGGTGGATCGGGAGAGCGGAAGGCATCTGCCAGGGACGATGGTGGAGACGTTGAGTGCGGGGTCTGCCCGGCGGCCTCTGCTATGGCCTCAGGCCAAGATGGTGGGGCGGGCAGAAGGGGGCCACGGCAGAGAGTCCTTCCTTCTAGGTCTGGTGCTCAGTGGTTTCCTGCTTTGCTGAAGGGCCGTTGCTCAGTGGTGATGATTCATGGCATTTGGACAGTGTGGCTGTGTTCCGAACAGGGAAGTGAAAAATAACACAGCCAAGGGCAGTGCAGGACAGGACAGGGGCTGTCACAAGATGCGAAGCGTTACTTTGGAAAATGCAGGGGGCGGGGGAGTCACAGAGAAGCTGGTGGCGGCGGCTCATGCCGTGTGAGTGTGGCCCTGCTTGCTCTTCTTCTGGGCCTCAACTTTTCCGAGTGTCGGTCACTAAGTTGCCCCTCAGAAGCGGCAGCTGGTCTTGGCCGAGCTGTCGTGGGGAGGAGGAAGTGGACGGGTGATTCAGCGAGTGTCAGCTTCCTCTGTGACTCAGGGCTGGATCAGTTCCTTAGGGTGGTGCCACGGGGCTGTGTGGCTTTAGCTGGATTCTTTGAAATTCTCTGCCACTGGTGGTGGCTGGCCCTCCCTTGACCCTTCCAGATGAGTAAGGGGATTAAACAGAATTCTGCGGCCTTCTCCCAAGTTGGGTAGGCCCTTCCGAGTTGAGGCCTTCCTGTGGCGCCAGCCGACAAAGACCAGTGACGGGCCGAGCTGAGGCCTCTGCTGGGTGCGGGCCCGTATTCGGGAACTGTATTGGGGGAGCAGCTCGGATCTGAGGGGCCCAGCCCCGGCAAGCATTAGACTGATGGAGGAGGCAACTCTCCTGGAGGTCATTTGTCCACTTAGCGGGTGGAAGACAGGAGAGGGCCAGATGCACAGCTGCTTCCTTCCCATGAGGAGCGTCACCACTGGCTTTTTATTCCGGAACACTGAGTTTTCCAAGGATCTGTCGTCAGTGTGTTGCCTACGCGGCCCTCGCTGCCCTTGCCTGAAACCTGTTCTGAGAAACACTTCAGTTATCCAGATCATCGCCCCTGCCTAAGAGGGCATCGTCCTCAAAGCACCGACTTGGTAAAGACTGAAGAGTCCTCTCCAAAAACGCTGCAGGGGGTCTGTATTCTGACGCCCTCCATCACCTTGGAGAACAGCCACTGCTTCCCGGTCAGTTCTGTCCCACCTCCGCCCCCCTCCGTCCTCTCCTGTTTCCGTGGCCACAACACAGGTCAGCTGGTCTGACTCAGGCAGGATGGCCAGCATCCAGTCACCGATGTACTTAATGAGGACTCTATTATTAGTCACATGCAAGAGAAGTGCAACTCAAACCAGTTGGGGCTTCCAGAAAGGAGCTCTGGGTGACAACTGTAGAGGGGGGAGGGGCCCTGAGGGCACCTGCAGCTGAGACCGGACCCTGCCAGGCCCTCTCTCCTTTCTCTCACACCATCTTCCAGCAACATGGTGATTTCGATCTCTTCGATAAGCTTTCTCTACACGCAATGTGCACGATTGCAGTTTGCTTATCACATCTCATGGCGTCACCGCCAGAGAGGGGCTGAGAGGGCCAGATTTCCAGAGAGAGGCCTCGATGGCCTTCCCTGGGGTCAGATGACTGTCACTGGCTCAATCACTGTGGCCAAGGAAGGATCTCTGAGCACAAGGCTGTTCCCATTTGGACCCTAAGATTAGCGCAGGGGAGGCAGTAATTTCCAGAAGAAGGGGCTCCTGTCCCGGGCAGACAAACAATGGGCCCACTCCCCCAGGGTGCCCAGGCTCCTCCTGATGCCCAGGCTGAGGACTCAGGCCCTTGCTGCCTCCCCTCTGTCTCTCCCGGGCCAGGCGGCCCTCAGAACCCACTGTTTTATTGCTTGAAAATCCATGAGACATGGGGGTTTTCTCAGCTATGTTTTTTTGTGGGGGATACATGTCTGGGGCAGCAGCTGTATGATTTTCTGAGGACATTGCCTTGGAGGATCTAAGCAACGAGTGAAGGAACAACAAAGGAACCATTCTCAGAAGCATGGCAAAAATGAAACCAAACAAAAACCCCATAAAAATCCCTACTGGGGCAGAGGAAATACCAGCCTGCTGCTTTTGAGCCACATCTTCAGTAATAAAGGAAAGATTCAAGGATCGGCCGTTCTGACGTGATTATGTTTGGGCTTGAGGGAGAATGTGCTGGAAAACAATGAAAGGGAGTCATCCAAGCAAGGGAGGTCTGTTGGTGCGTGCCTTTGTGTGGGGTGTTGTTGCAATTCAGGAACTGACCGATGACCAGGGTCATGGGGAGTCTGAAAGAGACACCCGACAGGAACCGGTTCAAAGTTTGTGCCCAGCCTCGGGAGCTCAGATGACCCGCAGCTGGCCTGCCCCCTGCTGGCTCCCATTGATGTCGGAGGGGTTCTGACCCCTGTTTGGTCACAGAAATACCCATTTGGAAATCTCTTTGAAGACTGGTTAAGTAAACACTCACAGCACTGACAGTAATAATTGAGTGACGTAGTTGAAGTTTTCGTGGTGAGCAGAGGAATCGCTGATTGTAAAACCGACAGGCAACTTGCCTTTCTGTTCCTCTAACGTGGCTTCCTTGCTTCTGGTCGCAGTTTCGGGCACAGTGTTCAAGGGGATGGGGTTGAGGATGTGGAGACACTTGCTGTCACTGCATGGGTGGGACAGGGTCCCAGGGACAGAGCATCATCCTGTCGCCACATAGCAGCTGGCTGCGGGCCTCCTGGCATGGCTAACCTTTGATGTTGCTCGTGGGGTCCTTCCATCTGGTTTGTGGCCTCAGGCTGCTGTGACCCCCAGCGGGGGTGTCTCCCTGGGGCTCCCAGGACCCCAGCAGGGTGAAAAGTCTGGTTTTCATCAGGGAGCACTGAACCCCTCTCTGCGTGATGGCCCTGCTCTCAGTCCTGGTCAACCGGACAAGAGCTGCCGGCTCCTCCGGACCAGGGAGTGGAGGCCCCTTCGTCACTTTGCTTCCCTCATTGTTTCTGAGTCCCCATTGTACGTGGACTCATGTCAAATGATGGACGTGGAAGCAGGCTGCCGGCTCTGGACTCAGCTGTGCCTCTGTACCCAGCAGTGTTGATGTTTGTTCATTCAATTCATTCATCATGGATCCATCTACTTACCCATTCACTGGGACCTGTCGTTCAGTCATTCAGTTACTATGAGACCAGGTCTTCTTATCTTTTATCTTTGCTGCCTGGCACAGCGCCACGCTTGTAGCAGGGACTCCACACATGTTCGTTGACGTCTTTTCCTGCTTCATCTTTGTTATGGTTCAAGTTCTACATCGACGTCTACAATGTTGAAGTCCTAATCCCCAGGACCCTGCAATGTGACTGTGTTTGGGGATAGGGTCTTTAAAGGGGTAATTAAATTAAAATGAGGTTATTTTAAGTTAAAATGGTTCTCTGAACCAATCCTTTTTAAAAAAAAATTTTTTTTTTAATATTTATTTTTGAGAGAGAGACAGAGCACCAGCAGGGGAGGGGCAGAGAGAGAAAGACACAGAATCTGAAGCAGGCTCCAGGCTCTGGGCTGTCAGCACAGAGCCTGACGCAGGGCTCGAACTCATGAACTACAAAATCATGCCCTGGGCCAAAGTTGAGCACTTAACCAACTGAGCCACCCAGACGCCCCAAAACCAATCCTTATAGGAAGAGGAGTTTGTGACATGGGCACATACAAGGGAAGATGATATGAAGACACAGAGAGAGGACAGCCATTGACAAGCTAAGGAGAGAGGCCTGGGACCCATCCTTCATCCAAGAAGGAGCCAATCCTGTCAACACCTTGGTCTTGGACTTCGAGCCTCCAGAGCTGTGGGGAAATAAATATCTGTTGTTTAGGCTGCCCCAGTTTATGGTGCTTTTTTATGGCCACCATAGCTGACTCACACAGCCTCTCCACAGGTCCCTAGAGCATGTAACCAAGTGCAAGGTGCTGTGGGACATCCAGAGGGAGAGTCGAGAAGTCTGGGAAAGAGGAACAGTGTAGGCACCATCCTCTGTTCACATTTTCTTTCCCTAAAGCCCGCACTCCTCAGCCTCTCCTTACCTCTACCCCCAACAGATGGCGAAACAGGAGGAAACAAAGCAAAGGGCTCCCCATGAGATGCCTTCCTGCAGAGCCCCCAGAATAGAGCAAAAGCCCTTTAATACGGAGTCAGAAACACTGTTTATTTATTTATTTCCACCTGCCTCTCTTCCTCCGGTGAGTTCTTATTTAGCACATGGATGTGTATGCGCATGACCAGAATGTACACAAGGCTGCCGTGTGTGTGTGTGTGTGTGTGTGTGTGTGTGTGTGTATGCTGGGGAAGACTGCGAAGATTATCCATAGCTTTTGGGGACACACCTGTTTGTGCAGCTGGCCACAGGTTCCCCAGTCCTGGCTTTCAGGTACACGGTAGCTGGGAAGGGCCACGGTCAAGTCTCTCTCGGGACCATGAGTTACATCACTGGTTGCCCTTTGTGATTAAAGATGATGCCTATGTGACTATGTTTCCATACAACTGTTACTGAAAGATCGTCCTTTGACGGCCCCAGACAGTGGCTACAGACTGTGATCTCTTCGCAGGAATCATGATCTCCTTTCATTGTGGAGTAAACTTGGGATCTCTGGGAACATTTCTGAGCCTTCAGACCTTCTAGTCCTACTGAGAAGCCAGGTCCATTTGAAAATTTGCACAGTTTGTAAGTCTGTGCAATTATTTTAATTTTTATATTATTTTAGAGAGAGGAATAGAGAGAAAATTTTAAGCATCACCCTAGGATCATGAGCTGAGTCAAAATCAAAATCAAGCATCGGACAGTCAACCAATTGAACCACCCAGGTGCCCCTCTACCATTTTCTATCAAAGACATTTTCTTTTTTTTTTTTTTTTTTAATGTTTTTATTTTTGAGAGAGAGAGAGATAGAGCACAAGTGGGGCAGGGGCAGAGAGAGAGGGAGACACAGAATCTGAAGCAGGCTCCAGGCTCTGAGCTGTCCGCACAGAGCCTGATAGAAGGCTCGAACTCACGGACGGTGGGATCATGACCTGAGCTGAAGTCGGACGCTTAACCGACTGAGCCACCCAGGCGCCCCAGTCAAAGACGTTTTCTACTGCACAAACTCAGTAGTAATCCTGTTCCGCTCTGGGGTCCTTGCGCAATATATGTTTAGCTCATTGATTTTAAAGGGACCTAGGATTCCAGGAACTCATATTGGCCAGCCGGTCCCATGTTGCATAGTCCTGGGTCCCTAAAGGACTTTGGCAAAGACATCACCGCCAGTGCGGTTGCGATCAGCTTCTGTGTACATGAAGGGGAGTGAAGCTTGCACATCATGGTCACTCATACTGACTGACGTTTCTGAAGCGTGGTAGCATTTCTTCACATAACGTTGATGCTAACAGAAGCTTCCTATCTTCTCCATAGGCGCAAACGAACACGCTCCTGGGACGGTTTGAGGGCTAGTCCAGCAAGAGTGTTAAAAAGCCACCACGTGCGGGGCCACTCCCTGTCTCACCTCCTCCTGGGTGCCTTCCTTGGTTGGACATCCATTCCTCCCCTCTTCCCCACTCTGTAAGACCTGAGGTGTTCCCATCTCTGGAGTTTACCTGTGTTTTCTCATGAATGACTCCCGAACACATACGCTTTCAAAACTCAAAGGAATTTTCTTCCAGTGCTTAAATGGAGCCAGGAATTTCTATGTGGACTGGTTGGGCAGATGGGTCTATTTTGCCTTACTTAAATAGCCAAGCCAGTGGTTGGCCTGGCTCTAAGTCCAGCGGGTGCCCCCTTCCTTGGTGCGTGTTTGGGGTGATGCAGGTGCCTCTCCAGCCAAGGCCAGAGTGTGACTTAAGGGGGTGTGATTATGTGTCTGCTGCAAGTGGAAGCTGAGCTGGGCCCTTCGTGCTGTCTCTCTGCCACTTCCTCCTAGCCCCAGAGCTATATGTACTAGCTAGCAGATTTTTAAAAAGACAGCTCTCTATGCTTTCAGAGCCATGCCCTCTCCTCCCAGGCTTCGATTTCATAAACGCTGGTTCCTCCAGAGAAGCGACCAGAGCCTCTAACCACGTGTGTGCTTTTCAATAACCTTCTGACTCCCAGCGTGGCCCAGCCAATGAGGACAGAGCAGTGACCCTTAGATAAAAGGCTTCATTTAGCATGACTCATCCTTGGAGCCATCCCGCCTGCTCGGCCTGTGTTGTTAAGTGCCTGGTTTTGTAAATATTGACAGTTAGAAACCATCCCAGGAACTACCAAGCAGTGATCTGGAAGGTAATGTATATGAATATGACCAGTGATTAGGCAATACTTGTCATTTGCTAAGATTCAGCCACTGATAAAAATCACCCCATTATCTTTCTTCCTAATAGCGGCTCGTTTGCTTGTCTGTGACTCATCGCTGATATATTACAAGGTCTGATTCAGCAAGGAAAGTGTGGTCTGCTGCAACAGAGGACAACATCCAAGGCCACCTCGGGTTTTAGGATACTTGTTTCTTAACAAGCGTGGCTAGTTAAGAAGGAAAAGGTCAAAAGTCCCCATCGCTAAGAAACTGAAGGGGGTTTGGAGGGATAAAGAGCAGAGCGGTGCTTCTCACTGTTCTGAGCTGACGTGTTAAAACCCACTTCTCCACGTAGACGTACTTTCACTACATTCACCTGTGGATGCCCGTGGCTCCATGGGAGGCAGTCTCTCTCAGTTCAAGTTCACACTTCGGGGCTCGTTGGCCCTGCTCTCGGACGAATCATCTCTGCTCACGCAGAAACTGGTTTTTATCTTTTGCCCTCCCCTCCTCGCTGCTTAAAATAAATATCATCACCTGAATGTCTGTCGATGCTTCCTGACGGGTTTGCCCGTTGGGTTTGTTGAACTTTATCACTGTTGCAGGAACTTCCCTCTTTGAATCACAGCCCTTTGGAATGGCCCTTGTTTATTTCCTGCGTTTGCTCTGGGCTGAGGGTTGGTCCTGCCAAATCAGGGCTGAGCTTTTCAGTAGCTGGGCTTCGAACATGGACCTATTATGTTCAAAGATAAAAGTGGCCAAAGGCAGGTGCATATGGACACGTGCTCGCGCGCGCGCGCGCACACACACACACACAGACGTGTCCCTCTGTGCCACTTAATACTCATTGTGCTGGGGGCGCCTTGGTGGCTCAGTCAGTTAAGCGTCTGACTTCAGCTCAGGTCATGATCTCACGGCTCGTGAGTTCGAGCCCGCGTCGGGCTCTGTGATGACAGCTAGCTCAGAGCCTGGAGCCTGTTTCAGATTCTGTGTCTCCCTGTCTCTCTGACCCTCCCCTGCTCACGCTCTCTCTCTCTCAGAAATAAATAAAACATTAAAAAAATTAAAAAAAAAATACTCATTGTGCTGTCCTGCAATGAAATCTGAGCTCTGCCTGTGCCAACTGCATCAACACAGTGAAGGAAGCATGCATTACCTTGATGTAAGCACCTCTTGGCCACTCCCTGGCTGAGGGCCTTTGTGCAAGTTACTTAACTGCTCTGAGCCCCAGATCCCTTTCTTGTAAATTGAGGAGAAGAATACCTACCTTTCAGGGCTAGCGGCGCGAGTCAAGAGAGAACATGTTTAACGTACACAGATCTTAAACACTGTTCAGTCGATTGTCGCTGCTATCGTCTTTAGTACCTAGCCACTGCGAAAACCTGCTGCCAGCACTTTTGGGGCATGATGGGTTCAACTGTTAAGGGTCTACTATAGCTCTGAGGTTTTATATGTATGGTATGAGCCTCTCCAGGAGGTATTATCTTCATGTTACACAGAGAAGCGGAGGCTCAGGAGTGCAGCCAGTCAGCACTAGGAGCAGGCATCTCTGGGCATTGCTTGCATCACCTTTCAGGGACACTGGAGGTCACGACTGTGTGTGTGGTTCGCAGAGGCTGGCAACTTGCTGTGTCAGGAGGACACTAGGGCATCCGCCTTCACCTTTGCCCCCATCACACAGGCACAGACTGGTCTGTGTGCCGTTGGCCAAATAGCTTCACAGAGTCCTTGCTTAACCACCTGGCAGTGGCCGAGCGTTCTGTCCTTTTGTTCAGGTAGCTGGCACACCTGCCGAGTTGCAGAGCAGTGTTCTGGAACCTGTCGATAGTCCATATTTTTTATGGAATGTTGACAGATGGGTGATCGGAGTCCAGTCTGTTGGGATGCGTGGGGGTGGGAGTGGGGGCGGGGGTGGGTCTAGGGTGCCTGAATAGCGGGAAGGAAGTTCAGGTTGTCAGTCATTCCGCGCTGTCCTGGTGATCAGAAGGAACCAGACTGTTCAGACAGGAGCTCCTCCTCCAAGGGCCCTCCCTGTGGCCCCAACCCCCCTCTACCAGGGAGATGCTTTACCGGGGCAACGAGATGGAAAATTCTGCCCTCACAGGGCTGCACTCTTGCCTGCGTATCTGTGGCATCAGGGCTATATGGCATGTTTGAAAGAATGAGGAAATCAGTAGAGCAGTGTGCAGACCACAAAGGAGAGAGAATGCTTCTTGCAGTGGCCAGAAAGGAGGAAGGTATGTTTCCTGGAGAAGACACGTGAGGTGGAGGAAAGGTCCTTGCAGTAACGCGAAAGGCGAGCATGCTTACACTTAAATAAATGAGTGCTTCCTGGCATGAACACTTCCCAAAGAGAGGCCCTCGGTGGCCCACTCAGGAAAGGCCCCGTAGCATCAGACCCTGAATGTCCCAGGAGGTTGGACTGTGCTTCCCTGAGAGCCCCAGGATCACCCAGCAGGGCTGGGATCAGGGTGTCCCCAGAGAGGGCACATGTGAGGCTTCCAGGCGGGCAGGCCAGCTTTTGCTGCCCGGACATGGGAGCTCACTCTTCCCTTGGGGGGTCTCTGCATAGTAAGCCAGAAGGAGAGCAAGTGTCCCCTCTCAGCGGTGACCAATGGAGGCAGAGGCTAGAGGGAGGCAGGGCCGTAAAGGGACCCACTTTGACCAACTTCGAGGAAATGCATGGGTTGCCCTCTATTGGATGCATCTGCTTCCAAGTATCCGCAATCTTGTGGGGTCCAGGATTCTCTTCCATGGTGCCCCGAAGAATCGACGTAGCCTCAAGCTCGCTCCAACCTCCATGAGGACTGAACAAGATGGTGTCGTATAAGACACATGCGGTATCGGGCACAGGGATGTGTTTAATACCCGTCCCCTCATGTCCTTACCGTCACATCATTCAGTCACACTCCTGGTGTGCGTTTGCACTTTAGAGGTTTGCCTTCAAACCAAATGGTTGTCTCCAGCAGCCATGGCCCGACCCCCTCTTCCTCCCCTCCCAGAAAGTATGGGCTCCTTTTCGCTTTCTTTGTCTTCTAAACAAATTAAGTCCTCATATTCATTCCCTTGCTTATTCATCAGTCCTCCAAGCACTTCTGCTAAAGATGTATCATGCGCGGGGCCAGCTCTCTTGCTGAAGAGCAGTTACTTGCTTATGACACTCCCCCCCCCGCCCCCCTCCAGCCATGTATACAAATGCAGTGCTCTTTTTTCAGGTTGCAGGTCTAATTACTGAATAGAGATGTGTGATCTCACTTGCTTTTTTTGTACGCGTATTTTTCCGTATTTTGTGGGGGACTTCATGCCTGCAGAGAGCATTTGGAGGCTCTGGTTTAGAGTGTGAACGGTTCTAAGGTCCTCCGAGGCCTAGGCCCTTGCTGTCCAGATCAGAGAAGGGCGGGGGGAGGAGCCACCACCGGCAGGCAGGAGAAAATCACGGCCACGTGTACCTTGGGTCTGCTCTCTAACCAACAGGATGCGGAACCACTTTCCATCATGGGAGGTTTGGGACAGACGTCTCCTTTTAAAGAGGGGTCTGGGCAGAGGAAGCCAGAGTCAGGTCATTCTGGAAACTAAGGCATCTGCTGAGGCCATATGGCAATGAAGAGCCACATAGAGATCTGTCCTCTGTACCACCACTTACTGTGTGGCTGCCCACAGGACCCTGCCGTGGAGCGGCCATGCTGCCTTTGTTGAAACAATGTGGTGGACAAAAACAGTTTAAAGGGGAAGCAAAGATCTAGCAGGGTCAGGCTACAGATGCTTACTTAGCCTTAGAACCCTTGTTCTGGATAGTTCTGTGATAACATGGGGGCAGCTGTTGCGGTCTGGAATTAGTAGAGAAAGAATAACCCACGGTTGGCGGGGAGGGAGGTCTGGGGTGCAGGGAGAAAGCACACAGCGTTGCAGGCTGGGTCGCCCGGATATAGTAGCAGGGAAGCTGGACACACAAGCATGCTCTCAGCGATTCTATTTCAGGCTGGCTGGAGACAAAAATGCATTCTTTGCCACAGGAAGAATGCTCCCTCAGACAGAACTGCTAATCGGGCAAGATGAAGGGCTGCGGAATGTACAGCCAGCGGTGGTTACTGTTCGCTTTCCAGAAGGCGTTTTTTTTTCCCTCTCTTCCTTCACTGAGTCACATGTATTTTTGGCTTGCTAATTTAGACGGTGGCTGGGTAGCCCCCTCCCCCATCGCCTTCAGTTTTCAAAAGGTGGGAATTATCTGAGCCTGTGAGCTAGCTTGCAAAACCATGAGCAATCTTCCAGAGCTACCCTATGTCATCTGTCTCTCTGACATAAAGAGGGGAGGCGGGAGGAGGAAGACGAGGGTGTGGACAAGGAAAGGAGGGAGGAGGGAAAGCCGAGTACATGGGGGAGAGAAACATCTTGCTGACGTCAAAGAAGACCACACTCTACAGGGTAACATTACTCGGTACCTCAACCGCCCACTCCCTCTAATTTACTAGAAACCAAACAGGCTGTTTTGAAACCTGTAGCCTGCAGTCTGTTATTTTGTTTGGGTTTTTTTTTTTTTTTTTTTCCTATTCTCTCTGGACCAAAAGGACTATTAATTGTTGGGAGTTTGAAAGCTACCTGATTCCCTGAAACAGAGGGGATTTCCATGAGTAATAATTCAGCCCGTGCTTGTGTTAGGGCGCTGGAGCTAGAGTAAATTGATCCAGCTGCTTGCAAGCTGATGGAAAAGTGCCCGGGGGAGAGCACGGCATCTGCAGCTGGCTCTGTCACGTGGCCCGGCCTGCGACCGCAGGGCTGGCTCCAGCTCGTCCCTCGCCCCGCCCCCTGCGCGCCCCCTGCTCTGTCCCCGGCCCTGCGCTGGCTTCCCTTCCACTGCAGGTGTGGCAATCTCTTTCTTGGGAAATGCAGGACACAGAGGATGGGGGGAGGGAGGGACGGCGGGGGCAGCACCATTGCCTAAGCTCCCCGAAGAGAGTCACCCTTTTGGTGCGTTGGCCGGGTGGATTATGCTTCCCAGAAGCCTCCCCTAGTTCTGTTGTCTGGACTACTCGGGGCCTATTTACAAATAAAATCGGAGCTGGTGGAGGTACCCTGTATGTAACCAGAGGCTGAAGAAATACCGATTCCACCACCGAGATGGTAGGGTTCAATCTGTTTTCTGGCCAAGGCCGCACAGTTAATTTTTATCCTAGTAAAAAATAATAAACACGGCATTAGCAACTAAATGTTTATCAATTTGCAGGTCATTTCCAGCCAGATCATTTCACTGCTGCATGTTTTTACTGCTAGCTGATGCACTAGAGTGCTTTTCACGAAACCATATGTGACTATTTAAGCCCTAGTC